ACCACTGGGCTAGACTCTGGGAGCGATAGTGGTGAAAAAAGAAATGGTCCCGATTTCATGGAACCTACTCAGCATAAAGTTTTATTTGGGGGAGATGAGGGCGTGGTGGTTGTTCTGAAGCCTTCCCAAGACGCCTAAACTGAAGCCTAAAAAATAATAGGAGTTGCCAAGCTCTAGGGCGGAGCTGGCCAATCTGGAGACAGGAATATTTATCCCTAGTGTTTCCCCCAATATCCCGCCCTTCTTACGTAGCCTGACTCCTGGTTCCATTAACCACTCCCCCCCCCTCCATTCTCCACACCTAATAGCACCTCGTATTACTAGCCCGTGTTATACTCCTGGGAACGGCACTCCCGTTGGGTTTCCCTGCACCCTTTGCACAGCCTTGTGAAGTCCCCACATTAAACTTCCCTCAAATTATGCAATCTCAGTAAGGCATCCATTTCTGCCAGCACCCTGCTAGACAAAAAGCCCTGGAGATAGACTTGGGAGACAGCTGCGTGTTCAGATGGTATGTGGGACAGTGGGAAGGGAGATGGTCGGGGAAGGGGGCTGAAGAGGAATCCTCCCTGGGCCACTGGCATCTGAGCTAGGAAAACCTGGAAACTGCAATGCTATCAGTCAAGAATATTTCAAGAAAGAAACTGTCAGTGGTACAAGCGCTGCTAAGAGGCTGGGGGAGTAAAATGAGGGATTGGATGTCCCGGTGAGAAAGCCATCAGCCATCCTTGGAGTGGTAGGGGCAGAATCAACATTGGAAGGGACTGTACTAGTAAAAGTGGTTGGAGGCAAAGAATACACTTGTTACCTTAAAAAAGAAAAGAAAGAAAAAAAGACCTAATTGTTCAGGTCCCTATTTTAACTCTACCAGTGACCTGCTACAGAATCTTCAGATTTTTGAGTCTTTAATTTTTTTTTTAAGATTGGTTTTTAATTGATTTTTATAGAGGAAGGGAAGGAGAAAGAGAAACCATACGAAAGCAAAACACTGATTAGCCGCCTCCTGCCCACTCCCTACCAGGGATTGAGCCTGATATCTGGGCTTGTGCCCTGACCAGGAATCGAACCGGCAACTCTTTGGTGCACAGGATGACGTCCAACCAACTGAGCCACACTAGCCAGGGCTTGAGCCTTTAAATTTTGAAAGTATAAACATACAACAACTACTCTTCCTTGCAGTTACAGAAAACCAATAGCGGGACAGTGTTACGCTAATGTAAGTTATAGCAGTGTGGAGAATGTAGTTCTAAAACAGTCCATTACACCCCCTCCCTTTCAGACACGGAGACCACGGGCAGGCTTTGCCAACATCTGCTGTCTCTCTAAACGGAAAGATTAAGCTCTTTTACACCGAAGCCTGCAACTAAGTATGTCCAAGACCCCCCTACGCCACATACAATACGCAGTTTCTAACCAGGATGCAAGACATTTGAAACCTGAAGCATTCTCTCCAACACAATGCGTAACCAAACTCCACCCCTCGAGAAACTGTTAGAACCCTTAGATCCTGTCCTGTCTTTGAGAACATGAGCCTGTGAAATTATCTATCTTTGATCCAATTTGGCTTTCTCCTCCCTTCCCATTCACGGAACATCTCACGGGATGGTTGCGGGGCACAATGATAGATGTGAAGCATCAGGAAACTGTCCTAGGGACTCTGAATCGAGCGGCTCCCCGGGGCCTTCCCCTCCTCACTGCAGAGCTAGCAATCAGTCTGGCTACCTCCACTTACTTTTAGACTAAGCCCCCTGGACACTATTTCCTCCATAGACATTCTATAAAGGGTACTTTCAACATCAAAATTAAGAAACAAAATTTGATTAACTGACTTAGAGTCAAGGCCAACCTCTCGGCAAGGGTAAAGCTTGCCTTTCATTGTCAGCCTTCGGAAGAGACCCAGGTAACCACCCCCAAGGGCAGGTAAGACGGCGCCCGCCACAGCTACCGCGGGGACAGGGTTCAGTTTGGAGCAAGAGCTTTGGGAAAGCGGACTTTATTTCAGTTGCATGACCTCCTTGCACCTCCACTCACCTGCAAACAGGCTTTGTTTTGTTTTACTTTGCAAGGTTATTTAAACAATGTTTAAACTTGCCTGCCCATAGTAGGTGTTTGATCATAGGGGTGTTCTTTTTACTTGCTACACAAAGCACTTATATTTCAAGTAATTCAGTTTAAAAAAATGAGGTGCTGTGGCGGACACAGCTCTAAGGTGTTCCTTGTGATGCCCACATCCCACCTCTCAGCGTTCATGCATAGTTCCCTCCACTTGAGTGTGGTCTGTACCCCAGAAGACGGTCTCCTTAGCAGACTAGCTCTGGGGACCTGCTAGCTCCATGCAGAAAATGGCCATGTTGGGAGATGGCAGGTGTCAAGTGAGTGTGGAAGTGGATGATTCCCAAGTCACCTAATCGGAGTGCAACCCAGCTGACACCTTGCTGCAGCCTTGTGAGACCCCAAGAAAAGGATCCAGCTACACTGTGCCTGGACAGAAACTGAGATCAATGTCCTTCAAACAACTGAAAGTGTGGTAATTTATTACACAGCAATAGATAATATAGGTAAGTCATCTTTCCACTACCCTAGGTTAACTTAGTAACTTCATAGTAACTAGATCCATAGCTGGCAAAACCACCTGACTATCCTAAAGCAAATTTAAACCCTGACTGGAGTATAAAAAGTTTGGCCCATAGGATCTACTTTTCCCAGGTCATAGACGATGTTTTCACAACTTTGATATGGGATGCACCTATTTGGATCCCTCAGAATTCAGTGACTCAAATGGCTAATAAGGGCCAGGGCCAGGAACTAGAGAACCCAATGCCAACATCCACCTTTCCCTGTATCCAATTTTATAGTTTCTCTAGTCTCAACGATGCCTCCTACTATGCCCATAGACAATAAAGTCACATCAAAAACATTAAAACAGTGGAGGGATGGGTAAAGAAGTGCAAAATCACACAGCAATAAAAAAGGGTTAGATCTTGCCATATGCGCCCTAGCTGGTTTGGCTCAGTGGATAGAGCGTCGGCCTGCAGACTGAAGGGTCCCAGGTTTGATTCCGCTCAAGGGCACATGCCTGGCAGTGGGCTCGATCGCCGGTAGGGGGTGTGTAGGAGGCAGCTGATCAGTGATTCTCTCTCATCATTGATGTTTCTCTCTCTCTCCCTTCCTCTCTGAAATCAATAAAAATATATATTTTTAAAAAATCTTGCCATATGCAACAACATGAATGGACCTAGAGGGTATTATGCTAAGTGAGGCAAGTCAGAGAAAAGACAAACACCATATGGTTTTACTTACATGTGTAATCTAAAATAAATCAACCAAACACACAAACAAAGCAACAATTAAGTTATAGAAGTGTGGATAATGTAAGTTCTGAAACCTGGGCATGTGCCCTGACCAGGAATCTAACCGGCAACCCTCAGAAATAGAGACCACAAGGATGGCTACCAGAGGGGAGAGAGTGGGGAGATGGGTGGGAAAGGTGAGGGTAATATAGTCAATAACATTGTGTCAAGTTTGCAGTAACAGATGATTATTAGAATTAATGGGGTGGTCACGTTGTAAGGTATAAAAACATCAAATCACCAGACTGTCTACTTGGAACTAACGTAACTAACGTATTATTACATACCAACTATACAAACAAAGCCACAAAACAGCCTCTTTTATTTTCTAATAAGACTAAATTTATTCAATAACCTAGTAAAAGTTTTGAGTATAAGTATTCAACAGTATAAAAAGTACAAAACAGATTTGTAGATTTCTAATATATTAGTACAAAGTGCATGACTACATACAGTACATCCTACAGGCAAAGAGACGTGGAAGGGAAAAAGAAGACTGTGGTTGACTGTGGTCTAGTAATAAATAAATAAATACAGAAGTAGAGATGATCCATATTATAGTATATTCTACCACCGACACTGTAGCCAAAATGTACAAAATAAAAAAATAAAAAAAAGGACCATTTCAAAGTAACTCGGGAGGAAGAGGAGAATGGCTGAGACTCTTGCAGTGCACCTTCGAGGCTGTGGGAGAGCCGCTCCAACCACTGTGTTGTCTGTACAGATGGTGGCTTGTAGTTTCTTCCAAAGGAATATAAAATTTTAAGTTTAAAATAAGAACTATAAAACTACAGGGTGCCCATAAAAAGTAGCTCACTCCTTGTTGTTATTCATACTATCCAATTTTTAAAATCAGGCTTTAAAAATAAGCACCGAGTCATTTTATTATAAGGCTGGCAAATGATCCTCCCTCGTTCTGAAAAAGTGTGAACTGGTAATATTCTTCCTGAATTGATAGAAAAGAGGCAATGAGAGTACTTGGGCTTGAGTTCAAGTAACAGGCTTTTCATAAAAATTTTAGAACCGAAGGGCCCCACGTTCAGGATTTATCATCTAAAACCTCAATGTTCAGAAAACCTGGCTACAAAAAGCCAAACCCACTCAGCATTAACACCCCTCTTTTCTTTTACTAGCATTTTACTTTAATATAGTGGTGGGGGGAGACCCTAAAACCCTCATACATTAAAACAAGTTGAACAAACACTCTACACAGATAAAACCTTCACAAAGGTCAACTGAAGTAATCCAGAGCTAAAACTGAATTGTGTAGATTTTCAATGAAGTCACCGGTAAGCAACACGAGCCAAAGTCAATCATTTACACACTCGGCGAGCCCTCTGAGAAGCGTGCCCCCAGAAGCATCACCTTTGTTATTTTTATGCTATCCTGAAAGCCTGCACGTTTTTCAGATATCTGAACATGTTTCATAGAGTGTGTTCTCTCCCATGTGGTAAAATAAAGCTTTGGTACTATTTATATTAAGATTGCTTATCCTGAAGACTTGACATTTCCCCAAGAGGAGCTTCGATTCTGCTTTAGAAGTTTCATATAAATTAAAATCTTCATCAAATAGCAATATGAAGGAGGTGACATAGGATACAACATATACAGTCCAGTTACCTCTTTGCATATTTAGAAATGATTCCTTCAATGTATTTGTACCAGAGAGCTTATTCTGTCCTGCTTAATATTCAGTAGTACAGGTTTGAATCCTCAGAACCTTGGCAAGACCTTAATATTTTAAAATTATTAACAACTACCTCGAGGGGCAAGTCCAGGTTACTGGTTTATGACAAATTCATTATCATGAAGGAAAACAAGTGTAGTCAGCCATCTTTAAAAATGCCCCAACCACTGCTTCTCAATATAGAAAGACTAAAACTACGTACGTTTATCATACAACAAATCCCATCTCTGTCCCCTGAAGTCCCCCTAGTTTCATTCATGAGAAGGGGATTTAAAAGAAAAAGACTTAAAGAGCACTTTACAGCAGCATTCAGCTTTCCTATGAAATACTCAGCATCTTAAATATTATGTACATGTCTGTTTTTCCGTTTAGTAAGGTAGACACTGGCTTCAGAGTTGGTGGAACTTGTGGAAGTGGAGGAAAAAATAACCCATTCGGAACTATTCTAGAAATTGTCTTTTGGCAGAATAGCAGGTATCCAAGTGAAAAACAGGAAGGTCGTTTTGTTGCTGTGTTTTGGGTGTGTTTTTTTTCTGAAATTTCAATCATTTCCTGTTCCCCTTCTACATACACCCCAGTCACCACTCCTGGGTGGAGATGGGCAGAGGCTCTGGGCTGGGCTCCTCCGGCTTCTCCGCAGCAGCCTTCTTGTTGCTGCAGCAAGGCTTGAAGAGGTGCGTGTCAATGAGGACTTCCCCAAAGCGGCCTTTATAGATAATCCCACAACATATTTTCTGTCTAAAAGAAAAATGGAGAGAACGAAATATATTAATAAGGCAGAAGAACAGGGATACAAAAAAAAAACCTCTCATCATAATAGCTAGTACAACATGATCCAAAGGGTCTACTTCCACATTCCAAAAAAGGGCTCCCAAAGCCTGGCCAGTGTGGTTCAATGGTTGAGTGTCGACCTATGAACCAGGAGGTCACGGTTTGATTCCCCCGTCAGGACCCATGCCCGGGGGGATCCATCCCCAGCGTGGGGCGTGCAGGAAGCAGCCAATCAATGATTCTTTCTCATCATTTATGTTTCTCTCCCTCTCCCTTCCTCTCTGAAATCAATAAAAATACATTAAGGGGGGCGGGGGGAGCTCCTAGAGAAACCCCACTGGCTAGGTAATGGGAAGTACCCAGGTCCCATACATCCCACACTGGAACCTTACCCGATATTAAGGGGAAAGAAGGCATACTGGGAGACAGCAGTCAGTTTCAAAGGCTGCTCCCAAACTTGTAAACTGTGTCCTCCAAAAATCACCAACTCTTGAAGAAAAATAGCCACCATAACCAGGCTGACACAGCTGGTAGTTCTATTATATTTAAATATTTAGTAGATATAAAATATATACGTAACGGCACTCAAAAAAATGACAACACATAACACCCATACCTCACAGACTGTAATGAAAAAAAATTATCACTTCCTGTGAAGTCCCCCAGTTTGTCTGTCTCTAATCTCTTCCCACCCTACCTCATTCTTTCCTCCTTAATTTTAGGTTTAGCACTCCTTTGTTCTTTTTATACTTCCTGGTTTTACTGTGTTTGCATCTCTAAACATATTGCTTAGTTATCTCATTCAGACATATGCATATTTTATGTGTATAAAATATAATTATCTCATATATAAAATCAGATATATACAGGGTGGGACAAGGAGGTTTACAGTTGTTATGGAAGATAATACAATGATGCATCCTCACAACTGTAAACCTACTTTTGCCACACCCTGTATATAAAATTAGATCACACTGACTTTATGCATAGTATTTATAGAATATAGAAATATGGAATCACACGGAATGCTGTAATTTTTTTTTGCTCAGCATTAACTGAGGTTCATACATAGTTAGGCAAAGCTTTATTTCATTTTAACTTAGTACAGTATTCCACCATGTGAATATACCACAATTTATCCATTCTCCTTTTGATGGGACTGATTTTTGTTATTACAAACATGCTGTACATTATCAGTGCATATATCTAAAGGTTTTTTCTAGGTTATGTTGTCAGGATATAAGAATGGGAATATGCTCAATTTTGCTTGAAAATGTCAATGTGGTTCCCTTTGATTCCTATTTTGCTAAGTTTTATTTTAAGGAATGTTCAAATTTATCAAAGACCTTCAACTTATCACTAAGATGATAGGCATTTTTTTTCTGCTCATTTAGAAACTGTTGGTGTGGCAAATTATATTAGTTGACTTTCTAATGTTTAAAACAATCTTCTATCTCTAGGATAACCTAATCTGATCATGATATACTGTTTTGATGTCAAAGTCATGTTAGCTTCATAGAATGCTTGGGGCCTATGCCCTCTTTTATCCGTAATCTGGAAAAGCCAGTTGCAAGATCACTATCATTTGTTCCTGACGTGTTTGGGAGAACTTGAGGAGGAGAGAAAGAGAGAGAAACATGGTGTGACAGAGACACATTAATTGGTTGCCTCCCCGACACACATGGGATTGTTTGAGGGAAAACTTGTAACCACCGAGTCAATTTCCTTATTATGAGCTAGTCGGGTTTTTTATTTTTCCTTGAGACAGTTTTGGTAAGCTGTCTTTTTCTACTAATGTATATACTTCACATAAATGTTCAAGTTTATTGGCATGTAGTTGTTTATAATGTCTTTTTGTCTTTTAAATTTCTGCTTTAGCTATAGCTAAATCTCCCTTTTCTTAGCTAAAATATGTATGTATACTGTCTCTTTTTCTTGATCTGCATTATCTCTAGTAATTTTTTTGGTCAGGTCGTTTTCAGCAACCAGTTCTTAGCCTTATTGATCCTATCCATAGGCTTTCTACTCCATTTATTTCTGCTTGTTATCTTTAGGATTCCCTTGCTTTTATTTTTTCTTATATTGGGTTTCATTAACCTTTAAATTGGATATATATCACTTCATTTGCTTTTAGTCTTTCATTTATAAAAAGCATTAGGAGGATAACTTTTCTTTTTTTAGCTTCTTTTATTTTTAATATATTTTTATTGATTTCAGAGAGGAAGGGAGAGGGAGAGAAAGATAGAAACATCAATGATGAGAGAGAATCATTGATCGGCTGCCTCCTGGATGCCTCCTATAGGGGAGTGAGCCCACAACCCGGGCATGTGCCCTTGACCAGAATCAAATCTGGGACCCTTCAGTCTGCAGGCCACTGAGCCAAACCAAACCAGCTAGGGCGCTCTTTTTACCTCTTTAATGTTATACCACCTGTTTTGATTTGTAGTATTTTTCATTTATTTTTTAGTTATGAAGATTTTCTATTTTATATTATACTTTCTTCTTTTTTAAAAAAAATATATTTTATTGATTTTTTACAGAGAGGAAGGGAGAGGGATAGAGAGTTAGAAACATCGATCAGCTGCCTCCTGTACACCCCCTACTGGGGATGTGCCCGCAACCAAGGTACATGCCCTTGACTGGAATCGAACCTGGGACCCTTCAGTCTGCAGGCCGATGCTCTATCCATTGAGCCAAACTGGTTAGGGCTATACTTTCTTCTTGAAACCATGGTTTTTTAATTTACAACTATAGGTAGGTTTTCTATTTTTGTTTTGCAATCATTAAATTCTCTGCTCTTCCTTTCTGCTCTGGAGATTTTGTACTTATTTTTATTAATTTTTTGTGGTTATATACTTAATTATTCACGTTCTAAAGTTATTCACTACGTTTATTCTCAGTAATGCAAAGGACATTTATACACTTTTAACTTCTGTTACCTCCAACAATGCAAAGGACACTTATCATACTTTAACTTCTGCTATCACTTCTGTTACCTTGACTTATATGCTATTGCTGTCATGTAATTCTTTTTCTTTATCCCACAACTATTGTCATTTTAAGTAATCAGCATTTGTTGAAATTTACCTAAGTATTTGCTACTACTTCTTTTTTTAAAAAAAAAAAAAGAGGAAGGGAAAGAGAGGGAAAGAAAAATACCAATTTGTTTTTTCACTTTTTTTTTAATCCTCACCCAAGGAGTCTATTTTTTCCATTGGTTTTTTAAAATATATTTTTTTTATTGATTTTTTACAGAGAGGAAGGGAGAGGGATAGAGAGTTAGAAACATCGATGAGAGAGAAACATCGATCAGCTATCTCCTGCACACCCCCTACTGGGGATGTGCCCGCAACCAAGGTACATGCCCTTGACCGGAATCGAACCCGGGACCCTTCAGTCCACAGGCCAATGCTCTGTCCACTGAGCCAAACCAGCCAGGGCTCCATTGGTTTTTTAAGAGTGGAAAGGATGGGGGAGGGGGAGAGAAAGAGAGAGAAACATGGTGTGACAGAGACACATTAATTGGTTGCCTCCCCGACACACCCGGACTCGGGGGAGAGGGGCTGAGATCAGAAATGCTGGGGCAGGGGTCCTCAAACTACGGCCCGTGGGCCACATGCAAATACAAATGTTGTATTTGTTCCCGTTTTGTTTTTTTACTTCAAAATAAGATATGTGCAGTGTGCATAGGAATTTGTTCATAGTTTTTTTTTAAACTATAGTCCGGCCCTCCAACGGTCTGAGGGACAGTGAACTGGCCCCCTGTTTAAAAAGTTTCAGGACCCCTGACTTAGAATATCTATCTTGTTGGGTCATCAGAAGAACAGAACTCTCCAGGAGCCCACAGAAGTCACCAATGAAATCATCTTCCAGGTCTACCTTTTCATAGGCTGCCAGATAAAGGGCATGAAACCATCCAGCTTAGGTCAAAATGAGCCTATTCTCTTCCCTCGTTCCCCCTTTCCCACAGCAATATCGAAGAGAATAGAAGAGACAGCAAACACAGAAGTGAGCAAGAAGAGGAGGAATAAAGCCACCCAAGTCCCCTTTCCCAATGAAGGCTGTCTGCCATCTTGAATCCTGCCCAAGCTGGGGGAGAGTACAGTGCTAAGTGAACACTGAGTTTTATTAGCACCCATCCCCTATAATTCCTAAACTTGTAGAGAATGGCAGGAAGTAAAGGCTGAGCTCTAACCAACTGACATTCTAATTAGTGATGTCAGTCTTGACATGGCTTACTTGTCCTTTTACTTATCAATCTTTGTGGATCCTTGATCCCCAATGTCTTCTTGCTTCTTAACCACCGACTTCCTTACTAGACTGTCTTCCTCTATGTCTTGCCTACTCTCATGTGACATCTAGTAGCTGATTTCTTCTCAACTTGCTCTTGGGAACACTGATTTCTCATTTCCTTCCCACTGTGGCGAGCAGTAAATGGTTCCTGATCCACCTGCCCACCTCAGGTCCTCACTCCCCACATTGCCAATCCTTACCCACTGCAAGGCATGTCTCATCATGAAATGACACAAAACAGTTCATTCGCTATTTTACTTCCCAGCTTGTTGTGTTAGCATTTTGGAGATCCAGGCAAACAATAGAGAGCGACGCAGTAGGTAGAACTCATTGGTGGAGCATAAAAGTACCCCCCTCCTCCCGAATGGACGGAAAGTAGACTGTGAGCCCATCCCTGTCACAGAGTTGCAAGTTCCATTTTATTTCCATTGGATGAATGGTGTGGTATAAATGCACTGAAAATCATAGGACCTAATAAGGTGGCATACTTTTTTTTTTTAAAGTCACACACCAAATTGGGCACCTTCACTTATATGGCGTTCTGCTGGAGCCTGAAGCCACCTCTGTATCTGAGCCATCATCTGACTGGTTACTGTAACAAGGAGACTGAGCTGGGGAGGCACTTGAGGTGGTACTGTGAGCATCAGAATCTGCAATAAAGAGAAAACAAATATTATTTCATTATATGCGAATGCAACTAAACCTCGGCATAAAACACTGTGAGTTAGTAAAAATAAATAAATAAATAAAAATAAAATTATTTTTCTATTCACTACTGATACTTGAAGATATTTCTACTAACTAAAGTGTTTCTAAAACAATATGAGAACTTAAGCTTCCTGGAAGGTAAAAGTAGACATACTTTGCCCTGTTCCTCCGGTTTTAATAAGCACAACTAAAAGCCCTGAACGTTACCTAAAAAATGAACCTAAAGACCCTGGAAGTTGTCAACAGCTAGAAAAGCTTGAGACCCAAGGAAGGTCATGATAGTGAGTTCCCTAGTTTTTATGGGCTTTCTTGTTGCCTCATAAATAGCCAACCCAGAAATACCTATGGATGCAGACAATTTTTTTTTAAAGCCAACAAAAGCCTGCTCTCGCTATAGACCAGGAAAGGGGAAGCCTAGCAAGGCAGGAAACTTTTGTTAGACAACAGCTGCTCTCCTCCTGGCACACCGCAGAAAAAAACGGGCCCAACCCCACCCACCTCGGCCAAGGCCAAGCGGGGAGCCTGGGTTTCCATCCTCACCAGACTGTTCTGAGGCAGCCCAACATGTCCGCCAGCGTGTGTCAGGGGAAGCCTATTGAAGAGTCAGGACTTTCACTATGGCCCACCGGAAATAGGGTCCCCCCACCATGTGGGAGCCTCAGTTCCCCACCACCTGGCAGCCATGGGGAGCTCCCACCTCAGATGTCAATGGAGGCGGAGTGGCACCTGGCAGGAACAAGGTGGAGTCCCTCCCCCACATCCTCTGCTGGAGGAGTATTTAAAAAAAAAAAAAAAGCCAGTTAAAACAGAAGGTTTTAAATAAGATCCAATCTCAAAACATAATTCTTAAATTCTAGGTTTCTATCAAAAATCATATCGTATCCAGTACCTGGAAGATCTCAAACTAAATGAAAAGGCAAGTAGATGTTAACACCAAAATCACAGAGATGACAAAATTATCTGATGAAAATTTTAAAGAAAACCATGACAAAAATGCTTCAACAAACCATTAGGAACATGCTTGAAACAAATGAAAACAGAGCCTCAGCAAATACCAGGTCTCAGTTTTTAAAAGATGACACTATAAAGAAAAACCAAGTGGAACTGAAATGTGAACTGAAAAAAATACAATAAATGAAATAAAAAGCTAATTGGATAGGCTCAACAGCAGAATGTAGAGGACAGAGAAAACAACCAGTGAACTGGAAGAACAAACAACAGAAATTACCCAACCTGAACAACACAGAGAAAACAAACGAACAGAGCTTTAGAGACCTGTGGAACTCTAACAAAAAACCAACATTCATGTCAGTGTGGTCCTGGAAGGAAGGAGAAAGAGGGCGGAGGTGAAAAAATACTCAAAGAAATATAATGGCTGAAAACTTGCCAAACTTGGCAACAGACATAAACCTATAGGTTCAAGAAGTTGAGCACACCCTAAACAGGATATACCCAAAGAAATCAAAGCCAAGACATATAATTAGCCTTCTGAAAACTAAAGACACAGAAAAATGACGTTACAATAGATCCCGATTTAATAACTAATAAAGGCAATTCATCAGATACAAACTAAATATGATTTAGTATTTTTGCCCTCAGAAGACTTCATATAAATTTCTGAAGTGGAAAGCAAATTGATAGTCACTGTGCTATAAGGCATTATGCTGCTATTCCACAGCAGACCAATGTCATAAATAGGGTTGAGCCTACCACACATCTTGCCTTTAGTTAAAGACTATCCCCCTCAAAAGTGGGGGAGAGTGGGTGGGTGGGAGGTAATCAACCAAAGACCTTGTATTCATATTTGTATACATGCATATATGTATACAGTGGGGTGGTGAGGGCCTGGGGCAGGGTCGGGGGAGAAAGGGTTGAGGGGAGAAAAAAGGGGACATATGTAATACTTTCAACAATAAAGATTTTATTAAATAAATAGACTATTCCCCCCCCACAGGTGGATAGAGAAATCCTTCAATTCAAAGAACCAATCAAATATTTATTAAGTACAGACAATCCTCGGGTCACATCGGACTCCACGTACATCGTTTTGTGGTTATGTCACCATCTCCCATTTATTTATTTTTAAAAAAGTTCCGTCATTTCGACATATGTACATATGTGCTTTATGTTTATTATTTATTTACCACAAGTAAAGGTCAGGAATCTTTCTTTTAAACTTTTTTTACTGTTTCACTTAGTTACTGCTGTGTATGTGCTCCATGTGAGTGACGTAGGTGCTTATGTAGGTGGGTTCCGACTTACGGCGAAAAATCGCGTTACATCGCGCTTTAGGAACGGATCTCCAATGTAACCCGAGGACCTACTGCATCTACTAGCCATCCAACCCTGTGTCATATCCTGCATGGAAAGAAACAGACTAAAGAAAACGTTTTTGAATAGAGCTCATAAGTGTTTTGTATTAACAAAAGTTTACATAAAATTAGGTAACTAAAACAAAGAAAGCACCATCAGTGTTCTAATATGCTCATTCATTTCTAATATATGAATAGTTTAACTTCATAAAAATAATTCTCACCCTGCCTGGCCAGTGTGGCTCAGTGGTTGAGCATCGACCTATGCATCAAGAGGTCACAATTCAATTCCCAGTCAAGGCACATGCCCGGATTGCAGGCTCAATCCCCAGTGTGGGCGTGCAGGAGGCAGCCAATCAATGATTGATGTTTCTATCTCTCTCTCCCTCTCCCTTCCTCTCTGAAATCAGTAAAAAGACATCTATACTAATAAAAGCCTAGGTGGCCCTTGTGCACAACGTCGCCACAAGATGGCCACACACACAGTTTGGGGGTCCCGTGGTTCTGCGTGGCGCGGAGGAGGCGGGTCTCGTCAGGGGAGGGCAGTTGGGGGTGATCAGGCCGGCAGGGGAGCAGTTAGGGGGTGATCAGGCCGGCAGGCAGAAGCGGTTAGGGGCAATCAGGCAGGCAGGCAGGCAGTCGAGCGGTTAGGAGCAAGTGGTCCCGGATTGTGAAAGGGTGCAGGCCGGGCTGAGGGACACCCCCCCCCCCTCTGTGCACGAATTTCGTACACTAGGCCACTAGTATTTAAATAAAAATACAAAAAAGAAAACTCACTCTATTAGGAAGTGCTTAATATCTATGAACCATTTGAAAGTGCAGTTATTTGACCATTTCCAACCTATAAAAATGGCAATTTCATATGGTTTAATCTAATACTTGTGATATACAAACACATTTTGTAAGAAAAACTCTCTTCTAGAATGTAGGTCTAGAAATTCTTCAAAGAACTGCAATTTAAACAAAATTTTTAAACAGGGTTTGGAAAGGCACAAAAGAGTAATTGGATAGCATGGCATGGCGTAGGTAGGTGCAATGAGCAAAACTGTGGAAGCAGAACACACTGCGCACATGGAGGCATCTACTCAGTCCAAACATTCTTCTGAAATAGAACCTTCAAGGACTTGCTAGGGATTTTCAACTTTATTCTGTAGCAATCAGAAATCATTGCAGATTTTAGAAAGAAGGATGACAAAAAATAGCTAACATTTATAGAGGAATTTGTTGCATTTTTTAAAACCCTTTTTCATTATCCCCTTTTCTCTAATTAGGAAATTGTGGTTAAGTCAATGTTAAGTGACACCGGGGTCACATATTTGTAGGTGTCAAGAACTAGAATTCAGATCCAGCGTTTCCAGCTTCAGGTCCAAAGCCTTTGGAAAGAATGCCTCAGGAAGAGGAACGCAGGTCAGGTACAGGCAGGATGCTCGGAAGCAAAGACATAACCTGAGGCAAGGAAACCATCAGAGGGTGATGTATAAAAATTCAAATATGTCACAACTGTTTGGTACGTTGCATACAGGTGCTAGCAATTCACAATGCACCTGGGAAACCCAGTGTAAGTCTGAACCTCCAAAACCCACACATCTTTCCTTTTCAAACAGACTTATTTTTTAGTTTCCAGCCCCAATCTAAAATTAACTGTGCATATTCTCTAAGTAAGGCAAACGTTAGTCACATGTCACTTTCCCTATAATTAAACGAAGGAGCTAGGAATATATGTCTGACTATAATCAATTCCTCTAACCACTGTTAAGTGGTATAATAAAATTACTATTTCCCAAATGTTTATTAAAACATCTACTGATGGTGGGAGTAGGTTAGAAGGGGTCAATGAGGGTTGCGGGGGAGAGACATCTTTAATACTTTCAACAATAAAGATTTAAAAAAATAAAAGTGGAGAGATTTCAAACAAACAAACAAAAACATCTAGTGAGAATGAAGGGTAGAGTTAGTCATTTTTTTCTCCTTGGAGATAGTTGGTGAAGAAGGGAATATATATAATTAAAACATACATACTTAATGTTAGCAAAATATTTTACTAGAAAGGTACTAAAATATTTTAGCCAAAGATTAAATACAGAGTAGGCAAAATTAGGTCTACAGTTGTTCTTATGGAAAATAATACAATATTAAACTATAAAAATATCCAAGGTCCCAAAAAGCAGTTATTTGTGTGATAATTTGGTACATCCAAAGCCCTCCTCAATGAAAATCTCATATACAGTAATTGAATTAACGTGAATTTTGAATATCTGGACCATTGCTTACATGTTAGTATTTCTTGCATTTTTAACCCCACATGGAGAACAAGCTGGGAAGTGAGGTGTTCGGGAAATCGTATGTGGCAGAGGTGGTGGGAAGAAGACAGTTGAGCTTTTTCCCACTGAGAAACTGCATTTTCCATCTTCCCAGACAAAACAAATGGGTATTCTTCTCATATCATTTCAACGGTACCTTAGGAAAGTCTTGTCATTTAACAAATATGTCATACACTTAAGATTAATAGGAAAGGTTTCATAAAATAGTGTGACTAAAGGAAATGACTATACCAAACCCAGCAAATTGTTGAAAATGTTAAATGCCAGCATGTTCTAATTGGGACTCTAAATATAACTCTTATTTCCTAC